ATTTGAAATAGTGAGATCGCCTATTCGAATGGGTAATATCACCTATTCAAAACAAATAGATGACATCACCAATTCGAAATGCTCATATCACCATTTCAAATCAAATAGGGGATATCATCTATTTATTTTGAATAGATGATATCATTTTTTCGATTAGGTGATATCACCTATTCAAATTATGCATGAAATAACAACTGCTCCCAATATTATACATGTACTGCATATACATGTGTACTTACTTTACACAGAAAATAAACATTTCAGTTCCATTGTACATAAATAATAATAACGGAGAGAAAGGTTTCAGTAAATAACGCAAAACTGACTGCAGGTAAAATTCATATGACTTCACAGGGATCGATAACATGGTGTTTGAAATGTCTCAGACTATAACACAGGGGAAAAGGACAACCCGAATTTGCTAAGGGTAACTAAAAATCTAGTTTTTCATATGCAAATCGGTTTTTTTCTACGGCCCTTTTTGTGTACATATACATTATACCTTAATAACAGTACCCCTCCCCCTCTTTAAGCACTTTAAACTTCTTTGAAAGACATTTAAAATTCCATTCTTTACTTTGCATTGAAGATAGATTGCCTTGAGGAAGGTAGCATTCATTATTTAATGTTGTCAGAAATGCAAATACGTGATATCACCTACTCGAATTGGAGATATCACCGATTCAGAAGGAAAAGCTGATATCACCTATTCGAATAGGTACTATCATTTATTCAATTCTAATAGGTGTTATCCCCCATTCGAATAGGTTTCTAATGGGTGATATTATTTCCAACAGGTGATATCACCAATTTAAAAACGTGATATCACCTATTCAAATAAGTGATATTTCCTATTCGAATAGGTGATATCACCTATTCATTTTGAATAGGTGATATCACTAAATGGCAATAAATACCAAAACGGCAACTCATACAAAACGGATATGCAACTGTGACCAGGCCGTTTTAAATAGTAGTTGAAGTAATCAAAGTACTGAAATTACTTGGAAGCGTAAAGCAACGAACGAAAGAGAATGATAAAATTTGAAACTCATCAGTATTTTGAACTTAAATTTCCTGTTGTATCGGAATAAGTACTTGCATTGTTCTTCCATAACGTCATTAACATTATGCAAGTACATTTAAAAAGCCCTATGAAATACAAATCCTTATTTGCTAAATTCTGTGTTACAAGTGCTTTGATATAATGGCATGGGCAGTTTACGGATTTGTATTGTTTGTAGTTTTTTTTTTACCAATCACTGTTCGTTATCTTCACCTTTTTCATCTTGACAATGTTGCGAAATATGAACCAGGAAAATTTCTCAACAATTTTGATGGATATAAAATTCAGCATCGTACTTGTAGATGTCCCTTTATTTAAAGTATTTTTAATCTTTCTATTTTGTCAGAAGTGCAACTTCGCATAATTGGCAGATAATTATTCTATTCATAAAAAATCAAAATAAATAGAAGTGCCGATAATAATATCCAAATAGCAAGTCCAAACAAACATAAAAAGATGAAATGGAAAATTTTTTTTTATACTGCTCTTAAATCTTCCATGACGAAAAGCACCCTATTTGTCATCAATATTTTTGTTTTCTTGGCTGCATCAGTAGATTAGTTTAAAATACTGTCATAAGTGTATACTGCCTTTCTTCGCAAATTGTTTACATAAAAATATATTTCTTTTTTATCCATGTTACAGGTACACTGGATAAAATTGCAAACGCGCAGCTCAATAATTTTATTGAACATTTGCTAAATCGAGTCCTGTGAATCTGATATCCATATTGATATCCATTCTTGCCTAATTCAGTATAACTGGCAAATATCTTAGTGTAATGACAAGATCGTCAACTGACCTTCATGCCCGGAAACCAATTTTTCAAAATCTACTGCTCACCATTTTTGCTCTGATATGAAGCTGGTGGTTGCCAGTGGTAGTCAGTGATGTTGTAACAAGAGCGGTCTTCCATTCAAAAATAAAATGATATAAGACAATTTGTCTATCATATCACCTTTTTATCTCCTAGTGCTTTGTCGTGCATACCTAGACCAACATACTGTATATGTACTTAAAAAAGCGGGCTTCATATTTTAGCGGCTTTTGCGCAGACAACGACGCGCTAATTCATGAATACCGCTAAGAAATCATTTATAAATACAATATACGGCAAGGACATGTATAGTGCTAATTTATGAGTTCGCCAACAACTCTATATACAGTGATTGTACTAAATGTTGAATACACCAATTTATGTACACGTACAGTACCTCCGGTTGCCCACTTTTTGTGGAACAATATTGCAATTGCCTTGGGGTGACAACCGAATGCTGTTGCCATCTACAAAAAACACTTGCATTAATTTTATAATTTTATTTTATTTTTATTTATAATTTTATTTGCAAAACTTTTTAACTAGAAGAGAGAAAAATCTTTAAATTTTATATTTTATTACAAACCTGTTCAAGGAACACTCTGTAGACACCTTACTGACCACCTGTTCGTCTCGGGTCAAACGTCGCACATGTTGTTATTTTTATGAGCTTTTTATTGATACAAGTTTAAAGAAACATCAAAGAACGAAAAAAAACCCACTGATCCTCCCTGACTGATATTACAGTCTACTTTGCTTCACTTTGTTATATTTGCTGTCTCCAAACAATGGACAGCAGAATTCAGAAAGAATTAAGAAATTGAAAGAATAACATACAATATATATCAAATTGTTTCACTGTATGAATAACACACAATTTATATCTAGTTCTACATACAGACAGATCATATGTTCTGTAACATCACATCACTCCATTACACATGGAACCCTATGTTTGTGGAATTTGTGCAACATTAGAATATGATCATGTCTATTGCTTATTTTCTTTTTTGTGACTTCTGGCCTCCATTTGCCTCCTCCTGGATATACATATGCCATTCATCGCTCCAGCCTCATACTGTTGATGATATAGTACAAAATGGATATCACTTTGTAGAAATAGGACATAAATTAGGAAGTCATGAAGACAATGAATGGAGAATTTCTTTCTCTAAGACAGAGAAAAAGAATGAATAGAATGCATTATGTGTCTAGTTCTAAATTGATAGAAAAGGTGTTCCACACAACACATTACTAAACAATTAAATACTATAATACCCACAGTTTTGTTAACAAACTTTTGGCCTCCATCTGACATCTCACAGTAAGACAGATGGAAAACATGGCCCCGGCCTCATATGATTCACGATTTTATAGAAAATGGAGGTCACTTTGCACATTTTTTTGTACATAAATCATTTGGTCGTATTTTGACTGACATGTATCATACCTATTGTTAAGCCATTGTTTTATGCTTAATTTGACTACGGATTACTACTTCTACCTGATCAATACATAGGGCTCATGGCGGGTGTGACCTTTAGACAGGGGATGCTTACCTAGGCAATAAAAATCTCTTGTTCTAGAAACGAACTTTCAATTATTTATAATATACTGAATATTTGTTCAATGATTGTGAAAACATGCAATAGATGGTAATAAATACCATTCCAACTTTGTAATTGTACATATCATGAATGACAAATAAAGATAACACTTTAGATAAAATGAAAGTAAATATAGTGTGATTTTTTGCACTAATTATAACCCCTGAAATTTTTCAAATCTTCCTTGTAAAAATGGACTCTGATACAACTTCAAATGTGTAAGTTTTACTGACAGCAATATATTACTCTTAAAACCACCTGCATTATTTGAATAAGTGCATTTTCACAATTCTTAGAACAAAAACAAATCATAGGTACTGAAAGTTAATGTAAATATAGAACATGTGCCTGTACACGAAAAGACATATTTATTAACTTCCAGTAACCATGATGCACAAAAAATAATCTTACAAGTTTCTTTCATTTAATTTTGTCAATAATTTTATTAATTATTTAATCAAATTTAATTTTTATGAAATCTGACGTGACTGTGCACATAGAATATTCTTTATAATTAAATGAAGCACGTAGAAAGAACATTTAGCCATCGCTGATTAGATGAAGAAGCAAGCTATGTTCTGATGATCAGAGGAAACAATTCATTTTGATTACGAGTGAATTTACACTAATATTTTTTCTTAAGTAGAAATAGATAAATTTATTAATAAAAGGTATTTTTAATTTTAAAAAATGGCATACTATACTAATAAAATACACAAAATTGACTTTAATCATTGACAGTCAAACAGCTATACAACATATATCGGAGTCATTGTTCGTGGGACTATGTGATGAAGTTGGTACCTCACAACTGGTGGCGATGAGGAGAGATTTGGCGGACATCAGTGAAATGGTGGAAAATCAAATGAGAACAAGTGATGAGAACAGTGAAATGTTGAGTGGAAGTCAGAGAGAAGGATTTAGACTGAAAGGATCAGATATGGATACTATCTTCTGGCCAAATAATCACCGTGTGATTTGGACATTATCTCAAGCTCAATATTACAAAACACACATAGAAACACTGATCCTCTGTGACTGTTCTGGTAGTCCACTAGGATTTACTTTGTTATATTTACTGTCACCAAGCAGGTACGTAGACATCGAGGGGGCCTGTGTTAGAATGAACAACAGAGATCTAGTTCTAAGTATACACAGAGCAAGTGTTCTGAATCACCATTTAATGACACTCCACATGGACCCTGCGTTAGTGGGATTGATGGAGAAATAAAATATGATGAAGCCCACTGTTTTGTTTGTGACTTTTGGCCTCCATCTGCCTCCTCATGGATAGACAGATGTCACTCATGGCCCCAGCCTCATGTTGTTGATGATATAGTAAAAAATGGATGTCACTTTGTAGCAATTGGACATAAGTTAGGAAGACATGAAGACCATGAATGGAGAATTTCTTTCTCCCTTGCAGAAAAAAAAATTGTGTATACAATGAACCATCCTTAAATGGCTGTATGAGGGTGTCTGTCCTAACTTTTTCATTCCAAATAACAACATGTTTCTGAGTAAAATTTATGGTGAAGCACAAAAACTATTATTCATCAGACTGTATGGGTTGTATGAGAAGGGTTTTGTGTCCCTGTTATACATTACCTCCATCAGTTCCTACATTATTGATGTCCTTCATAACCCCAGACTCTCCATCTGTACAAATGAACACGCTCTAATTTCTGAGATTGAGTTTGATGTCGAACTCTTTTATGAAATACGTACCTATAATTCGTCACTCAAATTAAACGATTGTATGAAGTATCTACTGACATTAGAACATATGATAAGTTCACCCCTCCTGACACAGTATCAAGTCATTATGCTACAGAGACTTGCAGCTTCTTTCCTACAGCAAACTGCTTTTATATTAAATATGGAGACTTACTCTCATGAAAACAAACTTAGGTATAAAGCTAATAAAATCTCCCATCACATGCTGAAATTAGCAGCCAAATTTGGTTGTATTACTGACATGATGTACATAGCCATGTATTATTACAAGACACTTAGATACATGGAAGCTTTATCTATTATAGAGATGATGAAGGTCACATTAGCACAGCCATATGTGATGAACAGGCCAAATGTAGATGCAGAGAAGTATATTGAAGCTGTAGGGGGACAGACCTGGTCTACAAAGATGAGACAAGCTATAGCATGCTATATCACACTCGAGAATAGAATCAATTACATCAATGAATTAGTACCGGCACAACAGTCTTCTTCTCTACAAAACAATGGGACTTCATTATATGTCCCATCCTTTATAATGTTGCACATGCTAGAGGTCTTGTGCTATAGATACGTAGAGTCATTGAGAGCACAAACAGCTCTAGATGATCTACATACCCTATTTCACTATGATCAGGGACAACTTATACCTTTAGATTACAGGGACATATCCTGGAAGATTCTGCAGATTTGTCAGCAAGTGACAAGGAACCTCTAGGATGATCTGTGCTCATTCCAACAATCTCTCAGACAAAAGCCATATCACCAAATACAAACAGAAACAGCAACAGAAATGAGAACACCGGGATTTCAAGAACGCAGTTGGTAAATGTTTTCAGAAAATTACAGATATTTGTAAAATTTAACCTTCTACAGTTTATAATAATCTAGTATAATTTTATCTCATATCAAATTTTCTGAATGACGCTTTGCTTTTGTGATATTTTTGTTTTCATAAATTTTTGTCCATAGATAGGTCTGATAAAATATTAATCATTCAAAAAGGTTCAAAGGCTACCTGAAATTAATAACCCTAACCCTAACCCTAACCCTATCTAGAAATTTCTAAAGTTCAAGAATCATAAATTTTTCACAATATTTACATTTGCTGTGTTTTTCTACTAAGCCAATTGTGAAATTGATTTGAATGCCATTTTCGTGTATACTCACGCGTAGAAATATGCATGGAGAAACTCGCACTAAAGTGACGTCACAATGACGCTACAGAGACGTTAATAAAATATAACGATATAGGGCAGCGAATAATTCAAACATTGAGTATCCTTTTGGTGCTTTTAAACATGTAAAATGTAAATATAAGGAATGTTTTTAGGTTTTGTGTGAGTTATTGGTGTGTAAATCACACAGACTTGCACGTAGGCATAGCTCGCTTCATGAAATATGCCTACGTGACAAGTTTTTGTGATTTACACACAAATAACTCACACAAAACTTAAAAGTACACCTTAATTGATTAAATAAATTAGTAACAAAAAGTGAGAGAACAGAGGATCAGTGAGTGAATGTTAAATAAAAATCTGCAATGTTACATAATTATATAAAATTTATTTTTCGCCATTTAATTACAATAAGTAAGAACAATGTTATATAATTTCATACTTATTGTAATTAAATGGCGGAAAATAAATTTAAAAAAAAAATGAGTAAAAATACCCAATCATTTATATTTTTGTCCAGAACGTCCAGATTATCATTGATGAAAGAGTTGTCTTAGTGTTTTATAAAATCACTGATAGTAAGTTGATTTATTGACACTCTGCTTTTATATCAATGCATTCTAGATTTATATTAATAATTGTTTGAATGAAAAATTTATACAAAAAAAAATCATTTAGTTTTTTTACTCCGGAATAGAAAATTGACAAAGTTTATTAACCAGTATCTTTAAAGATTTATGATAAATTCCTATATTTCATGACACAAAAGATAATTATGTTTATGAATCGTAAACAATTAAATAAGTAAAGTCTTTTATTAATTGAAGATGGATTCACACTTGTAGATAATCCCTAACAAAAACATACATAAACACAATATACATAAACAAGTGAATTTCATTAATTAGAGATGGAACCACACCTACAATATGGTATATTATTATACTTTTATTATTTATTAATAGAAAGCGAATATTTAGAGATATATTTATATATTCTTTGTTTAAAGTCAAGAGTGAAAATTCTCCAGCACGCTTCAATATCTCATAACTTAATAGCACCATAGTTTTTTGACGATGTTAGATTCTGTCGCTGTATGTGATATTGTATATTCATATTTTGCACAAGCACTTTATGTACAATCTTCTATTATTTCACACAATAAACATTAATCAAAAACAGTCCTGTGTTCCTGTTCCGCTCTACACTTTACAAAAGTTCAACATCTAGGACTACATATATTTAATTGGTGAATGTGGAAGTAAAACTTCAGGACACAAAAATACAAACCAAAATCCCCAATCTAAATTTGTCTGAGGAAAGAAAGATGAAAATTCAGTTATGACTCTTTAAAAAAATTATTCTCAAATAAAACTTTTGCATACTGTGCAATTGCAAATTGGTTATCTATCATAATTTGATTCTGTTATAATCATGATCTTCAACAGTGAAATACCGTAATTGATGCATAGAATAAAAATGATTCTCTGTAAAAATATCTCAGATATGCGACAAAATTATGGATTTTCCTTCCCTTTATGAAAATATCATTATATCAATATTTCATGTAGTTGAGGGTAATATTGAACATTTTCACCCCAAGAAACCTTGCTAACCGAGACGCAGCTGAAGTCGACATTGGCTTTCCAGGAGTAATCGTCACAACCTTTATTTAAAGTCATTGATGATACAGGGATTTCAAAAGCCTTGATTTTTATATTAGAATTCCTAAAATTCTCAGGTCATATGAAGACCTTGTTTTTAAATACAACTTTTCATTTGGTCTTGTTTTGCCTGACATGTTTCAAACCAATGGTTAGGCAATTGTTTTTATACTTAATTAGACGACGAATTTTGCGGTCTACCTGATCTATACATAGGGCTCAAAGCGTGTGGAACGTTTTAACCATACACAGAGACGTAAGCGTAGTCGTGGGCATCGGTCTTACAATAAACCTTTAATACACGATGTCTCTTTTGATTCAATACTACCTTACGTAAATCAACAGTTAGGTCTACATCATATTTGCACCAAACTTTACTCTGTCCCTTTGAAACTTTTACATTGTCTTCTTGAAAAGGTCAAGGAAAGTCCATTTTTTGATTCCTCGACACCAGAATATAGGCTCGCATCTGTGATTATGGATATTGCAAATCATAGGCTTTTTAAACCCCCATGTTTTACTGAAGAAGAAGCAGCTAAAACAGTCCATTTTTTCCTTAACTTCAATATGCCAACAAAGGAATTGACGCGGTTAATATAAGTAATATTCTTATTCACAAAAGGGTCCAGTCTTGTATTCCATTATATTTCAAGTTAAAGACTACACCTTGTATTTCCTACAAATATACATCGACTATTGCTTCCAAACTTTTTAATTACAAAAAAAACTTTACAGGGCCTGGATATCGAATATCTGAAACATATTCCTCCATCGTGTTCATGTTCTTCTTCACCCTATAACTATAGTCCTGCTGGACACGTTATTACTGGTGACGTTAATATAGTTAATAATGAGATAATAATAGATCACTAATTTTAAAAGGTCCTAAATATAGGGAACCCCGATCCTTCAACTGGCGTCGGAATTTCATAAATATTATGGATTCTGTAGAGGATTACGCCAGACGATGGGCCAGATATGAAAAAAGGACCTTCTGTATTCAATAATCCAGAAGTGAGAAAAGAATTAGATAGATTACATGATCAGTACGTACTGGTTCCTGCTGACAAAGCAGGTAACAACAATGTCTTTGTTTATAAGGCTCATTATATTAAATATATTTAAGAGGAACTAGGATTAAATTCTACAAGTGGTAATCCAACTTCTACTCATAGTTCTCATTCTAAGGAAGAAATTCTTCAAAATCATATGTCAGTTTTGAATATTTTAATATTCCAGACAACCAAAATGAATTTGAATTACCATATCTATATTGGATTCCGAAACTTCATAAAAATCCTTACAAACAAAGATACATTGCGGGTTCCAGAAAATGTTCAACCAAGCCTCTTTCTTTACTCCCCACTAAGATATTAACAGTAGTGAAGGGGAAACTTCAAGAAAACTGTGCAACAATATATTCGAGAAGTAGTGTAAATCAGAAGTGGATACTCAAAAATTCCAAGGAACTTTACGAAAATTTGAAATCTCAAGATTTTACCAAATCAACAGCTTAAAAACTTACGACTTTTCAACTTTATACACAACCATTCCCCACGATAAATTAAAATCCAGGCTTTTTGATATCATTGACATCTGCTTTTTCAATAAAAATGGAACTCGTAAATTTACTTACCTTGTCATTGGTCATTTGCAAAATTATTTTGTTAAAAAAACATTTTGATTGTACACACAAGTACTCTGCAGTTGACATTAAAAAATGCTTGAGTTTCTGATTGACAATATCTATGTAGTTTTTGGAGACCAGGCCTTCCAACAATCTATTGGAATTCCCCTGGGTACCAATTGCGCCCCGTTATTAGCAGACCTGTTTTGTATTCATATGAAGCAGAATTTGTCTAAAATCTTATAAATGATAAGAAGAAAACACTTGCTGTGGCCTTCAACTCGACATTTAGATATATCGACGACGTATTGTCAATTAACAATGGTTATATCCATTCTTATGTCGATACGATATATCCCGTTGAGCTTGAGATAAAAGATACTACAGAGTTTGACACATCTGTTTCATATTTAGATATTTTACTTGAAAAAGACGTTAATGGTAATCTAACAACCAAGCTTTATGATAAACGTGATGACTTTAACTTTTCAATCGTCAACTTCCCTTTCTTATGCAGCAATATACCTTGAAAAAGATGTTAATGGTAATCTAACAACCAAGCTTTATGATAAACGTGATGACTTTAACTTTTCAATCGTCAACTTCCCTTACATATGCAGCAATATACCTTCATCACCTGCATACGGGGTTTATATCTCTCAGTTGATTCGATACGCAAGAGCACGCTCTATATATGTACAATTTTCAAAACGAGATAAATTATTGACAAACAAGTTGATGAAACAAGAATATCAGCAGTCTCGTTTAAAGTCATCATTTCGTAAGCTCTATGGTCGATACAATGACCACTGAGTCAAATGCTGACTGACTTTTTCATACTAATTGTTAGGCCATTATTTACATACTGAATTATCGACGGATTTTTCTGTTATTTCCCGATCATGATAAGGAGCACACGGTGGGTGTGACCGGTCGACAGGGGATGCTCACTCCTCCATGGCACCTGATCCCACCTCTGATGTTTTGGAGGTCCGTGTTTGCTCTGCACCTATTTTGTAATGTTTAATGGACTTTTGAGCTTGAATACTGTTCGTTATCTCCATATATTTCATGATGTAGAGGTTCTTTACTTGTAAATGCCGCCTATCTTGTTCATCTTAAGATGGAGATAAATCAAAGATTCGAGGCATACAACCTTGTGCACATCACAGTCTTCACATTGAAATCATACTTAGCGACCGAAGTATATTATTAAATTGGATGTTAATGATTGGAACTCTGAAAACCT